GCGATCGTTAACATTTCTCAATAGTCAATATTTAGTCCTAACTTGGGTTATTTTTATTATTATTTTAACACATAGATATTGGTACAAGGAAGCACCAAATACATATGCGCCACAAAAATCTCATTCGATATGTGTGAGGGCTGTGATACTGCCCGGGTGCCCGAACCGAAGCAGATGGTTTTCTTAGGGGGCCACTCCCCGAGCCTTCGACCTGAAGGTCTGATCCACAAAACAGTGGAGCATCGTGAGGAGATGCAGTTCCATGATAGCCAGTGACCAACGATTGGTTCATACGCCATTTGTTCCCTCAGGATGCTGGAATCCGTGTGCACCATTGGTTTGGAATCAGGGTTTTCCAACTCCCCTAGGTTGACTCTCCGTGTCCACCAACCCGGTTAAAGCGTCCTACATTCGCTTTTCGTCCTCTCAATTTCGTAAACAACACCCGCGGTACGAGAAGGCAGTGAGTAGGCCTTCCCTGGTAGAGGCTATATACGCGTGGCCATGTGAGAGCATTTCGAGAGGGAGAGCGGACTCTGAGGACTTTCTGTGTATTTGAACGTTCTTTCATCTATGCATTGGTCGTAAAAATTACTTTATGCAGTTTGTAAATGATTTTAAAATAAGAACTACCAAGTCATTGTTTCAATAAAGTCGACAGCCCAATTTGTTTACAACAGTTTCAGTGAGATAGTATTTATAAATTGTGCTGATTCTATGTGATTTAGTAACTGCTCATACTGTATCATCCTATTGCAGCATTGACGTTTTTCTACTGATGTCATATATATCACAAAGTTTTAGCCTTAATGACAGTGATTTCCACATCATTAAGTCGTTTTATTTCGAAATTTTGTGCTTAATTATTCCTCATTCAAGCGTTATTTCAACAGATGATAATCAAATTTTATTCATTTAATCTATTTTTAAGGTTGGTTCATTAAGCCGAATGAGGAGTCGTTTGCTATCTACTTTGCGAAATGTATCCACAATTTATGATGTTGGCTGCGGTTACATTTAATCAGATACTCATTGCTAGGATATTTATGTGTTGACAAATGGCTTCTTTCAAAATATTCAACATTGTAAACACAAACGGCTGGATTATGATCTTTTTTTCTAGGAATAAATGGGTACAGTATATAGATATCCTTTATGTCAATGTAGTTACAAATAAAACATATATTATATCCAAGAGATTCTTTTTGTCATTAGTTAAAATGTTTGTATTATAACTAGGTGTGTGAATCATGAAAATTCATTAATTTTTTGTGCAAGTAAAATACTACTATGGACAATGGACATATAAGAGTAAGCGTGTGAAATATGTGGATATCAACGATAATAAATATAACTAAAATTACTCATAATCTTTGAATATTTTTTCTAATGAGGATGAAACTAAGTTATCTTATAAAGTGATATAACACTTTACTTTATGACAGTCCAATGCTAATTCTCTTGTAGTGAACGAGAAAACTAGTGGGGACAACCGAATGCATTGGAATACAACATTACAGAATGTCTTGGTAAAATCTGAGACTCATGCAGTAAATACTTCATTTGCAAAACGTCAATCACTTGTCTCAAACTTGATTGTTTCTTCGCTTCCACACCAGTCACTCTCTATTCTCGTTCACTTCTTTGTCGCCAGGTATTTCACTATCGATTGGTGGTGTATACTACTTCTATCTGTTGAGATCAGTAGCTCATATCACGCTCTCATTATATCAATGAATTTATTTAAAGCAGCAAAGCAGAACTAAAATTAATTCTAGAATTTGATGAATTTCGAAATCAACTTTTTAATCATAATAATTTGTTCAGTTTAATCACGGTGATTCAAGAACTGAAAAACAGATGGGCAAAATACTTTGAGGAACTGTTGAATAGACCAGCTTAATTGAATTCACTGGACATCGAAGCAGCATACAGAGATCTTCTTATAGATGTCAGTTCATCAAAGACCGAAGAAATCAAGATGTCCATCGGATAAATCAAGAGTGGGAAAGCAGCAGGACCTGGAAATATACCAGCTAAAACAATGAAGTCAGATATTAAAGAAACTACAAACATGCTTCACATTCTATTCAAGAAAATTTAGGATGGGGGGAAAAGTGCCGATGGACTGGAAAGAAGGACACCCCATCAAGATATCAAAGGAAGGAGACCTGAGAGAATGCGAGAACTACAGAGGCATCACACTACTATCAGTATCAGGAAAAGTTTTCAACAGAGTGTTGCTACAGCGGATGAAAGACGCAGTAGACGCTCAACTTCGGGATCAACAGGCTGAATTCAGTAAGGATTGATCGTCCACGGACCGAATAGCGACACTACTGATCATCGTCGAACAATCAGTTGAGTCGAACTAGTCACTATACATCAACTTCATTGACTACGAGGCGTTTTATAATGCGGACAGGAGAACATTATGGAGTTCCTGAGAAGATTGTCGACATTATCCGGAACCCATACGACGGACTACAGTGCAAAGTCGTGCATGGAGGACAGCTGACAGTTGCATTCCAAGTATGAACCGGGGTCACAAGGGTGTCTAATCTCTCCCTTCCTCTTCCTTCTGATGGTTGACTAGATTATGAAGACTTCAACAGATATGAAAAAGATGAATTACATTTGGAAAGGATTGCCCAGGACAGGGTGCGATGGAGAGTACTCGTGGGCGACCTATGCTACTCCACGAAGAGTAACAGCCGTAAGTAAGTAATAAAATTCATGAAACATACACTAACTTTCGTTTCAAATTATGAAACGTGATATGGTACTAAAACTATATATATGGACAAAAATGTTTTACAGTGTAATTCGCACTGTATGTTTCAACTTCAGTGTTTGTTACTCAACAGATATGCACAAGTCAATAAACATTTAAAGTAAAATTTGTTGTTTTATTTTATAAACAGTAAAATATTTGTATATCAAGACTAACTAAAAATTTATGGTTAAGTTGGATAGCGGTTAGTAAATATACCAACAGAGACTGTCCAGTTGCAGTCTATAACAGCAATTATGTGAAAATGCAGACTTTCAGAAGTAAAATTCATACCTGTCTCACTAGCTAATGGCAGTTTCGGTTCAGTAGCTCAGTGGACGAGCCATAGGCTTTGTAATCGAGTTACTAGGTTTGGATCCCATTGTTAATATCCATGCAGGGATGAATGTGCATCCAGCAAGTGAGTTTCACCAAGGATGAAACATTTTTTCTAGATTCCACTGTTAACAACTATTCAGTGCTAGTAAATTATCTGTTTTTTTTAAAAAGGATTTAAAGGCAAAAAATTACGAAACTTTATACCACTAAATTTAAAAAGTACTGATAAACTCACTTTCGAATTGGTTCAAGGATCAAGGCTGCTTCCCACAATCAAGTAATAAGGCTATTTAAAGGTGACTATAGTAGGATAATATATATCAGGCTTCGTAGTTAAGTTTCATTGAAAGCAAAACGAAATTTTATTGAATCTCTGCTCACACACATATCGTATAGAAATTATAAACCTGAAAAAACTGTGATAAAGTCTTCATAACTTTCACTTACGGTTACAAACTCTGAAGTCACTATAGACAATATCTGTTTTACATTCAATATATTAATTTGATTACGTCTAGTATGATGTCCGAGGTTCATTTACATATTTTTGAAGAGAAACTTATCTGAAACTGTGCCATGAGTTAAGTATTGTATTTTGCTGCATAAAATAGCGATACGGATAAACACGATTGCAACAATCAACTGTGGGAAAGAACAAACCAGATTCCAGCGGAGGAAGAAATTAGGAAGAAGCGCTGGAAATGGATAGGACACACATTGAGGAAAGCACCCAACTGCGTCACAAGATAAGCCCTCACATGGAATCTTCAATGCCAAAGGAGGAGAAGAGGAAGACCAAAGAACACATTACGCCGAGAAATGGAGATAGACATGAGAAAAATGAACAAGAATTGGATGGAATTAGAAAAGAAGGCCCAGGACAGAGTGGGTTGGGGAATGCTGGTCGGCGGCCTATGCTTCATTAGGAGTAACAGGCGCAAGTAAGTAAGCAAGTAATATCCCTCTAAACAGTTGTTTGAGTTACTGAACGGTGTTTGTTCATATCTAGGTGAATATTTTCACTCAGTCACCTAAAGTTAATTTAATTTGAACATCAAGGCATTTTTGGTAACGAACAAACATCAGTTAGATAATAAAAAACGGGGAAACATTGTTTAAGTCTTTGAGACCACATCTATGCACGTAGACAACTTTATACGGGATCAAACTCAGAACCTAAATGTTTCCAAATGAATACAATACCTTTAAATCACGAAATTGACGGGTCACGTTTCCAACCTCAGTAATCTTATGATATAATGGTACGATTATTGATAGTCATCACTAAAAATTCTTACATTTCTAATACAATCAATGTTCACCGATCACTGCTTCTAACTAGAACCTTGAGAGTTCTCATGAAATCTAGTGTTTAATCCTCGTCAAATTTCTATGATTCTTAAACTGATTTCACCCCTTGATAATAGCTAGTGTTAATTTGACTAACAAAAATAACATGTAGAAGGTGATTATTCTAAGTATAATTATCAAAATTAGAAATTAATTTTATCCATGTAAAGGTTGGGGCTTATAAAGTATAAACAAAAGTAAATATTATCTCATCTTCACAATTATGATATTTCGAACTGACTTGACTAATTTTATTCAACAGGATTCATTTAACTTCATAGATACATATCTCGTCTCTGTTTGGTCTAGATCTGTCAAAATCATGTTTATGTACTTGAAAATTCCTAGATTTAAGTATTACACAGAAAAAATATAAGTTGCTCATTTAAATTCATTTTAAATATGCTTCCTTTTAAAAACAGTCCAATATTTTTATATCGATAAATGGATAACATAACGAGATGATAAATACAAATAACATGTATATGTAAAAATCATATTACCAGATTACTTTTCGATAATAATAATGATAATAATAATAATAATAATAATAATAATAAAATTCTACTACTGACTAATGACCCTACTACTAATCTGCCGATTTGCTCATATTTCTAATTTACACAAATTTGATCTAATCTCAAGGGTGTGTCCAACTGAAATAAATAAGAAAAAAATTATTAGGAAATTAATGATCTACTATTTTATCTCATCCAATGAATGAAAATAATGTTTGGTATCTGCTTCAATCAAGGTTTATATAAATACCTTGTCAACTGGTTAATGTTTCGATCTTTAAAATAATAATTTTGATCTGTTTCCATTATTATTTAAAATGTCTTGTTTTCGATCAGAAGAATCTAGAGAACAACAACGAATAAGTCGAGAAATTGAACGTCAATTACATAAAGACAAGAATACAGGAAGAAAAGAAGTGAAATTATTATTACTTGGTAAGTTTTTATTATGAAATAAAGAGTCCCTGTTAATAATTACACCACTTACTAGTGAAGAAACCTAGATGAAGTTAATTATTTGAATTGTAATATTATATGTACGAATTTTTTTGAATTAAGGATTCAGTAGATAAACATCACTTTAAATATAAGTTAAAGAGATCTCTGACTATTCATTGTTTACTTACTGACTTATGGCTGTTATCCCTCATGGAGCATAGGCTGCCAGCCATGATTCTCTAAGCAACTTTGTCTTGTACTGTCTTATTCAGTTATTCCCAAGTGCTATTCGTTCTTTTGATGTCTGCTTCCGATTTCTGAAGCAATTTGTTCGCTGGCCTTCCTCCTTTCCATTTGCCCTCAAGATTTCAAACTAGGGCTTGCTTTGTGATACAGTTTGATAGCTTCCGTAGTTTGAATTTTCCACCTCCAGCTTCTTTCCTAATTTTATCCTTGGCTACAAGCTGCCTGGCTTTCTACCAAAGTATGTTTTTGCTAATAATGCCTGTCCAACGGATCTGGAGCATCCTGCGTAGATAACTGCTTATAGATATCTGTACCGCCTTAACGATGGTTGTAGTGACTCTCCAAGTTTCAGTTTTTTCGTGTTCCAGATGTTGTTCAATTTTAGGACTGCTACCCTTGTTTTGGTATTTCAAGCCTGTAAATCTGCACCAGATCCCCCTTGACTATCAATGATACTATCCAGGCATGTTCAAGTTTCCACCTTTTCCAGAGCTTCTCTTTCAGGTGTGCTTTGGTTGGCACTCTCAGTGTTATATTTTAGGATCGTGTTTTCTCCCCTTGTGAATACTGAGACCTACTTCTGGAGAGACTGCCGCTTCATTGGCTTTCTTCGCGTGCAATTTTTGCTATGTATGGAATAGAGGAGCTAGTTTGCGTCCAAACTCTAAATCGTCCAGCTATATCGAAGTTGTGAACTAGTTTTTACATTAAATTATTTAAAAAATCAATCGTTAACAGAATACATGTAAGAGAACTATTATTAAAGTCGAAAATAAAGTTAATTGATAATTAAATCATAAATTAGCTCATCATCAATTACATTTTTGTCTGTTCTTTTTTAAGCATTCAGATTATTTTGTAGTGTCCATTAAAACTCAAGGAATAAATTTGAAATAACATGGTAATAAATAATCATCGAACACAGTAACATAAATTTGTATTTTCATACAAAATTTTGACACATTTTTTAATGATCAGTAATAATTTGGTAGTAAAATTATCATGAAATATTGAGGTTATTTGCATGGAAATATTGGAAAATTCTGCTTTATTTAATTTGAATAGATCCATACCTTTTAAGTAGTCATAGTAAATACCGACACCTGTTAAGTTATACTAACAATTATCTATCTGAAATTAGCGATGTTTATTAGTTAAGTTACACGCCGTAGATGTACTATATCCAAAGATCTTGACTGGACAAGTTATGAGGGAAATTCTAATAAAACAAAATAAACAGCTAGAAATCCATTATAATAACTGCTTAAAATACTGATTTGAATTGTGAATGCGTAAAAAAACAATTTTGTCTCTTCATTTTTTTTCTCAGGGACTGGAGAATCCGGTAAAAGTACTTTTGTAAAACAAATGCGAATTATACATGGAGCTGGTTATACAGACATGGAAAAATATGCTTTTAAAACTTTAGTATATCAGAATATCTTTCTAGCCATGCAAACAATGTGTGATGCACTGTGTGCACTTTCAATAGAATTAGAATATCCTGTAAATCAAGTAAGTTAAAAATCAAAATGTTGAAATAAGTTATTTATGAATGTCATAGTTTATAATTTGTTTTTTACATAAAATCATCAATCCTAATTGTTTGAAAATATTTTAAGGTAATTTTTACCAGGAATATTAACAATATCATTTATCATAATAATATAATCTATCTATTCAGCTACAAAATATTTTTACTAGTGCCACCAAATGCCGTGGTACGGCCGAGAGTGAGGAGAGTCCGCTCTCCCTCTCGAAATGTTCTCAACATGGCCACACGTATGTAGCAGCTGACACGGAAATCCTACTCATTGCCTTCTCATACCGCGGGTGTTGTTTACGAAATTGAGAGGACAAAAAGCGAATGTCGGACGCTTTAACCGGGTTGGTGGACACGGAGAGTCAACCTAGGGGAGTTGGAAAACCCTGATTTCAAACCAATGATGCAAATGGGCTCCAGTATCTTGAAGGAACAAATGGCGTATGAACCAATCGTTGGTCACTGGCTATCATGGAACTGCATCTCCTCACGATGCTCCACTGTTTTGTGGATCAGACCTTCAGGTCGAAGGCTCGGGGAGTGGCCCCCTAAGAAAACCATCTGCTTTGGTTCGGGCACCCGAGCAGTATCACAGCCCTCACACAAATCAAACGAGATTTTTGTGGCGCATATCTATTTGGTGCCTCCTTGTACCAATATCATTGTGTTCACATAAATAAATAATAAATAAAGTATTATTTAATGTTTAAATGAATCAAAAAAAAGTAAATTCAATATTTCAGAGACTAATAATAACAGGTTATCAAGAAGATAGTTTTATTTTTAGTTTGTTAGATTCGCATTATGTTCAAAAGTAAACAAAAATTTTTGGTGAGACTATAATTTCTGAACGAAAAAATCACGTACAAGATAACAGGTTTTGGATTTTGGCGCTAAATGCACGCATCCATTTGGATACATAGAATTTTGGCATGATAGATGATGTCAGTTCGTGATAACAACCCGAAATCTAATTTTTAAGCTTAATCATCAACTGTAAAATATAATTCTAATTCCTCACCCAGGTTTTTAAGTGGACACTCTCAAGGTCAGTCTAGTATCGCTCAAAGGTCGTCCATAAATTTTAGTTTCACCAATGTTTTTGATGGACTTTTTTTCTCTGAGCTAAACTCCATTAAAATCATCCACCTGAGCTACAAATCTTCTCTATCATCTTAAACAAAATGTTTTCATTAGAATGATATAAAGTAATGAACATATATTTTGTACGTTTAATTAGCATATTATGGTATCTGGTAAATACCTTACAAGTATTTCTGAGTGAAGTTTTACAAATTATTACAAGTAATTAATTAATGTTTTCTGTGCAAATAGACTATTAGAAGGAGTTAATTATTTTCTGGGAATTATTCAATATCTAACATTACTGGTACCATTGTTATTTACGTGTCATATTTATAGTTGATGCAATAGTCTTAATTCATTGAATATTGATTAAATAAATAATGAAATGACTAGTTAAATCTGACTTTATAAATACAAAACGATTTGGTTATAAACTTGGTGAATGAAAATTTACTTATGATTTATCCTATAAATAATAGAAAAACGTAGTTTTGATAATGTTTATTGCTGAATGAATCAACTATGTTGTGAATGTATTTCGTTTGAAAGATGAAATTTAACTTTAATTTTTTCTCAAAGAGGTAAATGTTTTGAAATGTTATCAATGGCTTTTAACAAACTATATGGCAGATACACAGCAGTTATATAATAGGGATGGTTGGAGTATATTGCGAATTGACTGCAATCGAAAATATGAATCACTAAACTTTGACAAGTAATCTAAAAGTATGGTGCTCTACGCCAGATCTGAATGTCATTAGTTTAATCTCGTGTAAAGTTGTGCATGTGTTTTGTTGGGAATATGAACCACTTACCAAACACTTTAATAGGTAAACTCAGTAATTTGTCAACAATTAATCAGTCACTCATTTTGAGTACAACTCTTAAGAGGTTTCGCTAACTAATATATACTCTAGTTCATATATATATTTTATAAAATTCTAATAAGAACGATAATGCTAATGGAAGTGGTTGAAAATCTTTAGAGATTTTTACTAGAAATTCATGTTACATTAATGGAAATCATATGTACAAGTTGAATGTAAACCGATTTCAACATAAGAATTTCATACTTAGATATGATGATGGCATGTGGAATTGTATTAACTTCTCAAATCTTATATATACAACTCAAAAATTCATTTGTTTTCACTTGAAATGGGACTAGGAAAATATAGAACTTATCATAAAAGTTGATCTTGAAGATTCTGTTGAACTGACACCTGAACGTATCAATGCTATACGTCAGTTATGGGCTGACCAAGGAATGAAAGAGTGCTATGAACGTAGAAGAGAATTTCAATTGTCCGACTCATCGAAATAGTAAGTTATAAAGATTATGACAAATGGAACTTGTATAATATTTTTTGCAATGATTATTTAAATTTTTTCGCTAAAGATTATCAATCAAAAAATGTCTGAATCCCTTAATATGATCATTACTTTCTCATTAATAAGCAATGGATGTTTATTCATGCAACTATTTGAACACAATCAAACAATAAAGTAGGTTGAAGTCATTACAATGTGCATTACAATCCTTATACTTGAACAAATCAGTCATCATTTTTACGTTACTCAAATTAAACTATTTATTTAAGAAAAAAGCTTTTACTTCTCATTCAGATGTAAATTACTTTTTATAGATTTCAAATAATAACCAAGTATCCTAATTACATCATATTTATATGTTATTAACCCACATGGAGTAGCATATAGTTCAACTTCCTGAATATTTAATTTTGCCTAAATTTATCTAGCATTGCTGATTATTTAGACTGATCTTTCATTTAACTACTGAGGAAGTATTTTATTATATTTACCAATCACTTGGTGATAATTAATTTCCAGTTGTCTGATCCCTATTGCTCATTGAATGTCATCGATAATGTTGACAATCTAGCCACTGGGTTGTGTTGATTGACAGATTGATACGCCTTATTTAAAGTAAGTCATTTGGATGAAGTCCATGAAAACTTCATCCTACATTTTATTCTGGTTAGCTCAATAGTAATATTTTTCTCCCTGGTACTGTTTAGTGCCACTCGTAATCGTTACGAAATTACGAGTTACACCATCATTACTGTTATACGTCTATTAGGAACACCAACCACAACAAAATGTAAAGTTCAAGCTTCCTCATAACTGCTTTTAGCTATCTTGTAGATGTATTCAGTTTACTTTGTTAAATCATGAGAGATCATAGACAAAATTAAAAGTTAATAAATAAGTAATATGGAATACAGGTGTCTAAACGGTACATAAGTTGATTATATAGATGTATATTTGCATAATATTATATTTTAGTTTGGGCAAAAATATACCATTATACTGTTAAAACATTTAGTTTTATGTAGATTATCTGTAACTAAAAAATAACAGTTTAAAGACAAATGATATACATTAAACAATAACCCAAATAACTCATAAATTCCAAGGTGCCCAGTCATTGAGATTTAATTATTGATAGTTACTTATGCCTATTTTGAAAAATAACATTACAGACGGTTAATTGATCAGATCAGAATATTGATATGCCCGGTCAAAATTAAACATAAAAATACAAAATATTTGGCGAAAAATGTTTAACTAATTTTTTGTTTTCTATTTACTGATAAAAATTAGACATGGTTACATTGATTTAGTTCATAACACCTCGTTTGCAAAAATGAAAGGAAGCAAAACAGGCTTCGATTAAGTGACCATTTACAGAAAAAGACCTATTCAAGATAACTTACAAGAAAATTCAAATATTAGACTCTATAATATCCAAACTGTTTACGAAAAATGACTAATGTTGTAAATCGTCATTAGAATGAAAAAAAACTTGAAAGTAACTTGATGTTACAACCCTCTCCTAACATTAGTTGGCTAGATTGTTGAGAGCCTAGATAAAATGTTCAAGTCAAAACAAGCAAAGAAAATCCAACGGATTTTTGTCTTCTTACTTTAATAAAAACTGAAATTACATAAACTAAATATCAATAAAAATAGATCATGAATAACTTTGTACATAAAAAATATTTCAAAAATCACATCATGACTTCAGATTTTCACCTTAGAAGTAAATTAAATAAGTTAACTAAACAGAATGTGCTTACTAGCTTCATTTTTCCATTAATTGACTTTAATTCAGGTATACATACCACGACACATTATTCAACATGGATAAATGCTGACATACGTTCGGCTGGGAATGAAACATCAATTGCTTTTGAAGCTTACGATGATGATTCTACCTAGCACTGTGATGGAAGCTTCTCAATAAATATATCTATTCCAGAAAGAAATAGAATAATCGGATACTTTTTTGTTTGATAGGAATGAGTGTAAATAGAATATTTGTCTAGTCCTCTTGATATTTTTAAAAGTTCCTTACTATATTGATGATATGGATCCTGAGATACATCTAGAGATTTTATTAAATGGTCAGTCTTATTCAGTATAGCAGTAATATTCAATTTATTTCAGTTCTAAATATTCAACGTTCTTATCAGATAGCGTTTTTAAAACAGGCAAAAAAATCAAATCATTATAACATATTATGGTAACATGTGACCAGTCAGAAAAAATAGCCATCATAAAAACTTCAGTTACCAGTCATCAAAAATATTCAAGTAGTTTTTTATACTTTTTTTTAGCTATTTGAACAATTTTGACAGAATAGCTGATCCAGATTATTTACCAAGTCTACAAGATATTTTACGTGTACGTGTACCAACAACTGGTATAATTGAATACCCGTTCAATTTGGATTCTACGGTTTTCAGGTTAGTTTTTAAATTGTTAAAATGTTGTAAAGAAAGTATTGGTAGAAAATAATAATGACTGGGCTGAAAACTTTAAGATTTCACACAGTGAGAATAAAAGCATTTCTATGGTATAACAACAGAATCCGAACAATGTAACACATTGTAACAAGTATTCAGAAGTCACACTTTTCTAATGAAATGTGTAGTTGTTAGAAATATCAAACAGTCCTTTGTTACCAATCAACAAGGCTTAATTTCTATCCTTAAAATATATAAATCTTTGTATCGACGATGTTTCTTCAATTTACAGTGATGATGTATGGATCAAGTTATTTCTAATAAATTCTCAAATTCTTCTGCTACCGGTTAGTTATTTGCCAAACGGAATACAAAGAAACTACAATGATACAATTTGAATTACAATTACGCACGTAATTTCGTTAGATGAGTAAATTTTTCAACGTTCCAATAACATGAATACTAGTTCACAAATTATTACTTCTTTTGTCTTAAAAAGAAAATGGAATTACAAATACCATCACAAGTTCTAACAATATTTGTATCTTATGATATTACTAATACTACTACTATAGCAATTGCTGTTATTCCCTCCTCTTTTTATGATGATTTAAGCTTTTGAAAAGAAATAAAAGACGTATGGTATCTCAGCTAAATAATTTGAACGTGGAGTTTTTTGAAACCAAATGTATTTACGTAAGCAATGATGAATAGTGGCTAGCAGCGGAATCCAGGATGCGCGTTTCGTCCTACTTGAGACTCGTCAGCTGGGTGTGCCTGCATCTCAGAGTTGCTGTTTACTCTGGGACTCGAACCCAAAACCATTCGCTCCAAACGCCATCGCGCTATCCACCGAGCTATTGTGCCCTGATAGCCATTCGCTTGTACGATGGGGTGAATTTAAATTCACTTGGTATTGTTCAGCTTGTATTCCACTACTAGCCGCTATCCATCATTGCTTACAAAAAGCTTGTGAATTAAGGCAATATCGAAGCATACGCAAAGTACGCACATATGCCAATAACAGATTGATTAATTGCAGTCTTAAACCTCAATAGGAAGATACAAGCCAAACAATACCAAGTGAATTCAAATGTATTTACTGTTATGTATCAAAAGAAATTTTTATATCGAATGAAAAAAATAATATTTGCTTATCATACTGTTATAACATTCTGAATTAAGATTCTATCTTTTAACTGCATAGAATATTATAAACTCCATGTATGAAACTGATTAACCAATGAGTATTTGTTTAATCCTTAGTGCTTGTAGAATTATCTTATGTTTAAAATTATAATAAAGGATTGTGGATGTGGGCGGTCAAAGATCAGAACGAAGAAAATGGATTCATTCCTTTGAAAGTGTAACTTCTATTATATTTTTAAGTGCATTAAATGAATATGATCAAGTTCTTGTAGAAAATAAAAATGAGGTAATTTATTTTGTAAAAATTTTAAAATATTTTGCAAAATTTCAAAAATATTTTTTATTTATGAAAGCGAGATAGTCATTTCAAAACTAGTTATTAATTAATCATCATAGAAATAGACCTGTATGTTTTTATTATGTAATCCAAGCCTCATTCATTAGTTCACTGTAGTAATTTATTTCAATAATTTTTTTTAGGCATCATTACTACAAGTAATTCAGTAAATACCTATCTGAGAAGTCAAAAAGGATGGATTTAAGTGCTGTATATGTGTTTATTTTCATTTGAAATTCATCTTATGAACAATATATAACTATGAAAATTGTATTTGAATAATTTCAGTGATTGAAACACAAATAATTCCTATGTTTCCTCCGGTAATCTGATGTGAATTTCACCAAGGAGAATACAGTCGATTATTCAAATACAATTTTTATATTTATTTTCTTCTATATACTTGGCATCAAGTTTCTACCGAACTATTCTCTCAAATTCTGACAAATATTCATATAATATATATAATTGTATTCAATAATGAAATAGTAATTCATTGTAACTAATTCAAATACTATTGAAATCATCTGAAAACGAAGCGAAAAGCAGTGGTTGTTACTGACGAATAAATAATCACAATATCAACACTTACGAACTGTTTTACATTAAGATGTTCTGAATGGTTATTTTTAAAGTTTTTTAAAGAATCACATAATAACCTTACAACTTGTTGCTAACTTCTCAGTGACTTAATTGTTAAGATGTGCTTAATATTAAATAGTATTGTCAGGTTATCACAAGTAATTTTTGACTCAATAGAATTTGAAATAAAATTCTGAACGTTTTCAAATCAACATACGTATTCCATAATAGTCGTTAAATAATTTGTATATATACCACATTTTGGAGTAGTAAGTAATACACACTTATTAAATGACATCAAATGCTCATCACCATCAAAACTATTTACAAAAACTGTACACTAACTTAAACTAAGGAGAACATTAACAAAAACTCCAAAACTTATTGTCCTTTAAAAATATTTTCTAATGGTTAATTTCCCTGTAATGATTTTCATGTAATATGTATTTGACAGTCACCATTATAATTGAATGACTTGTAATTTTAAAAATGTAATAACCAACTAAAGGGACTATTATCGATTTAGAAATCATTTGACAGTATGTATATATAAAAAAAATTAAAATGAATAATGTGTCTACATTTTTCTTAATCTTTACTGAATTTATTATATGCAATGGTGCCAACTTTAATTTCAAGTACTGTGTTTTTTTCGTGTAATTATGAATTAAATTTTAAAGTCGAAGTATTGAGTTTACTGATAAAACTGAATAGTGAACTTTTAGTAAAATCTACTAAGCAAAACGATATGAACGTACACAATTTTACTCACATTATCACGTTGCAACCTAGAGTTATCTATAACATTGAAATCAATGAGTTTCGGCATTGATATAATTTTAATAATAAAAGATTTTTCCAAAATTATTTCATAGACTATATCATTTTATTAGGCTTGATATATTTTAGCTTGATCATAAAAAGGCTTCTGTACTATGTTGTTTATTTAAGATCAGCTAAATCTATTTTGATTTATCAGCTAGAGTTGTAAAATAAGAATGTCATAAGGCAAACTTTGTTTTTGACTAACGATATTAGATCATTTTATATTTCATTTGCTATTTTGAATGCTGATTGTTTTACAAAATGCCCACTCAGTGACTATAGCCAAACCAGCCCTTTCAATAATCGGTCTTCTTTTTGGCTGTAAAGTACTACACTACCTTAATAAAAAATGATTGATAACAAAAATCAAGCTTTTAAGGTATGCACCAAAGTTTTTCCTTTTTATTGAATTGAAAACTTCATCTATCCCCATTTATATTCGGTAATATCAGCAGTAAAGGACTATTTATATGAGTTCATAAAACGTTTTTTTGTCTTATATCCGGTACTTAGAGTTAAGATAAAGATATTCGATATCTTATTGTAAGTCTAAGAATAAAGATTTGTTAACAATGGTTGTTTATTATGTATTTCTAAATCTTAAGGAATTTTCACTGACCAAGATAAGAACCCGTTTTCACTTAAAAAAGGCTGATAGCATATTTTGCTATAGTGTACTTCATTTGTTCTGTTGCCAGTTAAAGTTCGATAACAATAAAGTTGTATAAATTCTTAAATCATCATCTTTTGTTTTAACCTAATATTATTTCAAATCGATGCAAGGTTATTTTTGATGCGTAAAATAAATTTTAAAGTTTGTATAAAAATCTCTGTGAAGAGTATGTCTATTACTTAGATTACTGTTAAATTATTCAACTTATGTCTTTAACTCACCCCCCGCCAAGTCACATAGTAACAAAGTGTGCTTTATAAGAATCAGTGCTTCCAGGTTTTCAATGGTGGTCTAGCTTCAACTGAATCATGATTTCAACCTGTGAAATTTCTAAAAAACCCTTCACAAAACCCATTCTGATAATCAATGAGTACTTACTTAAATTTGTCATTGTTTACTTCTTTGTTTTGGTTATGTTTCCCATTGGTTCGATTTTTTGTCAATAAGAACCAACCACCATCGAGGTGTACAGAACAAGCTATGAAACACATATGGAGTAATTCGAACACTTCACTTCTATCTGAAGTTTGTGCTGATGTCGTTCAGAAGAACGATAAAAGCTCCATGACCAAACCATCTGGCTTAGAGAACAAAACTCCATCAAAATCATCCACCTGAGCTACAAATCTTCTCCACCATCTCAGTACTTATTTTGTCCGTCTTTTATGTAAAAGATTTTTAATCCTAGTGTTATTAACGTTTTATAATAAGATTTTCCGTTAAAGGCATAATGATTAAAATTTTCTCATGAAATTATTTCATAGCTTACAGCACCTTTGACATTTAACATAAAAATTTTCTTGTAAATTGTATTTCAGATGAAAACTGTGTTAGAAATTCTGTTCTAATATCATCTTATGTAAAACGTGCAATTTTATACATTTACTTTCACTAATCAACTTTCATAAAGGAATTGGGATATTATTTAAAGAATGAAGTGAATTAGTTTTCTTTTTTTACAGATTTTTTCTTATCTTCGGTAGAGATAGATAGTATTAACTGTCATATATTAATGAAAATATTTAAGGCTAATTTGAAGGAAAATATCTATTCATTATCACATGTTAAATTTGTACAGTTAGTGTTGTATCTATTCAATGTACACAACAAAATATTGAAAAATAGATTGATATTACGTCAGTAAAAAAGTCCGAAAATTCCAGTTATCAGACAGAAAGGTTACCTTATTGATTTAAAGAGTAATGAAATCAGAAAACAGTGGGAATAATGTACACATGAAAAGTTTGAATGCTGATTGCTCACTAAACCAAAAAGAAGGTGAAAAAGAAACAAATAAGTGATAGTATCAGTTGAACAAATAGAAAATATTTAAAGAGTGAAAAGGATTAAGATCATGGTGAAACGAAGAACCTGGTTTATTGTTCTTAAATACAGGGTTATAAGTTGGTAATTTGTCAAAAGCTATAATTTACATTCATTTCTGACTCACAACCCGTTATATACCAAAGTGTTTGGACTTTTATTTCAGAATCTCCAAAGATATTTCTAATTGTGTTACATGACCAAAATTGATTAGATGTTCAAGAATTAACCTATTAAGTAACTTGCGTTCTGTTTTGGATAAAGAGATTAAATTAAAAATAGGTTACTACGTAAAATCAATAAAATCCGTTTCACAAAGGAAAGTAAACTGGTTGGTACACAACAATGGGAACTAATATAGTAATTTATCTTTAACATATCTGTATGATATATATTGTTTATAAGAAATTTTAAAATTCAATCTTCAAAATGTTTACCGCATTACGTGATGTTCAATCCATGATATTAAATAAAGTCCTAAAACATAAGGTACACATTAAGTAAGTATTTTAAATGAAAAAGATTAGGCAAAATTAATCATGTGTAAAGTTATTATAAACGAAAGAATTTGTAAGGTAAATGACATTTTCTTGTTGAATGCGCAATGTTCATGAAACGTATCAGCTAACATTAGTTTAATTAACTCTTTCAATCGTCCTATTTGTTGAATGAAAGGTAAGTTTTCGATAATATATAGTATATAACTACCGATATCTATTAGTCTGCATACCAAAACATTTAGTACTAATGTCGAAATAGTTCCTTGTTAAGAACATTTTGAAACATTTGTATGTAAAACATGATGCGAATGTTTTTCAATAAATATTTAACTATTTGTGATAATTGGGAGTAGTTGAGTTATTGTACGAATTAGAAACCACAGAAATAACGCAATTTAACCAAGAAGAACAATATGAACATGAAAGAACGTAGTGTATTTGGAATTCGAAATCAAGCAGTCATCAAGCACAAAGTAATCATTAGTTCATACAAACACCACACTATTTTAATCTCAAATGAAAATTAAATGTTACTTAAGACACAAATTTATTTATTCATAACTCTGATATTGAAGTTTTTGCATTTCGCTTGGTTATTATGATTGTACATCACCATCTCATTATTAATGAACGGTCGTTAAAAATCATTAGATGGTCAGTTAGCAATGTAAGTCGTAAAGCTTATCGACTGACAAACATAGAATAAAAATTGATGAGAAAGTGAACATTTTATGTATCAAAGCACGGTTCACTTTGTTTGTGACTGATTTAGGTACTTTTTCTTCAGTTGACAAATAAACTGTCATAATTTTGTAGACAGAATGTTCGTGAAGGTTTGGTTAGTTTAAAGATAGTTTTGTTCATGAATTGACGTTATCTGATGATTTTCAACAGTGCACAAACATAATCCAACTCAGGCATAAACTACGGATCATACGACGAGTATAATACGTTCATATTTCTCAGTAAAAATACAATGGCTTACATTTACAATTCCAGTCAGTCGGTAGCGTACCCTTCAATATTAGTGAGTCACTGACTTGCTC